GTGTGTGTGTGTGTGTGTGTGTGTGTGTGTGTGTGTGTGTGTGTGTGCGTGTGTGTGAGTGTGTGTGTGTGCATGTTCGTGCAAGTGTTGTGTGTCTATGTAAGTGGGTGTAGTTTACTTATACTTCCCAATAGGAAACACCTAAACTGCAAGGCTATTTACTCCCTTTGACTCAGTGTGACTTCCAGCAGGGTCGGGTTACCGAGAGCGTGCAGCCGGCCCACCTCAGCTGGGGAAGAGACCTCCACTCTGACTGACTCCACAGACATGAAAACAAACCTCTGGAAGCTTCGAAAGTGATTTGGCTGGAGGTGCTTTTCCATCTTTTTCACACCTTGGAACATGAGAGGTGTGCGGGAGGGTGAGAGTGCAGAGGTGAGTTGTTCTTAAATGTGTGTATGCGTATGTCCTCACATGTAAGCATTCGTGTGTGTGTCTTCCCATCAACACACCCACCCACTCACTTGACACTGGTCATTTTCACCACACGTAACATGCGCTGGCAAGCAACCAGATTCCCGTGTAGTGTGTGAACATGTGTACATAGGAGTGTACACTGATTGTCACTTTGATGAGTAACCAGTGTCAGTGTTTCTCATGTACCTGCACCAAGAGGCAGATTTTATTACTCACAATAATTGTATAGAATTGTTAAATAATAATGATAAAAAACAGGATACGAGGAAGAATTTCAATAATTTGTAAGTTTTTTGAACATTTATAATGTATTACTCATCTGCATAGGTCTGACCCTCAAGATGTTAAAGATCATAACCAACCAACCAAAAAAAAAAAAAAAAAAAAAGCAAACGTACTGACCAACACTGTTTTACATGGGGGCGAACCGCAGTGTGGGTGCTACACTTCAGCTACAATGCTGTTGATCAGGAAGGCATTATCAGCTGTAACCGCGGTATGAGAGCACTGAAAAGCGGCGGCCATGAGTTAACCAGTGGGGCACGCTCACATGCACGAACATGAACTAAAAGCATGCACGGACAACAAAACACACAGAGGGAGA